GTGTAATGATCAGAATTAAGTGAAAAGGGCACGTAGACCAGGTTAAAATAATGTCATCTGGGGGTGTCATCTCTTGCTACCACTTGTACATTCGGGTTCCATGCGTGGGAAGTGTTTATCCGACGCTATCGGCTTATGATTAACTCCTGTTAAAAACTAGCATTAAAAGAAGTGAATCTAAAGGCAACCGCCATGATGAACGAACACATCTGCCAATACAACAATTATGGATTTATTGCCAAAGTGTAAAGATAACACAAATTCAAGGGTTTGTTATATTTTTTCTAAAAAGGCATGTACACAAACAAAACTATACTGACATTTGTTTGTTTTAGTTTTTAAAGCATGGATTACAGAAATTCAGGAACAGACTGAATGAAGTGACAGTTTACACATGGGCATCATATACTGTACAATTTGAAACAAAAGGAAATTTATGAGAACCATTGTACTATAAAAGCCTCAAGATGTGGAATATAGGGGACCTCTGTTATGGCCTTAAACACTTTAAGACTAATTTTTTCCCCCTCACACACACCTCACACCTGCATGCACACACAGCATTAACTGTCAAACCACTTGTTTCGTTTGATGCTGGTGTTCTTGTCACTGTTACTCATCAGTTTCTTCTTGTACTGCTCCACCAGGCTGTCAAAGCGGTCTCCATCCCTTCTCTTCAAATGCTTCTTTGGCATTTTAACTTTCTGTGAAAACAACAAAACAAGAGTCATGAGGTGTAACAGGACAACCCTGATACTCTGGTAAAATACATACAGAGGAAAATAAGTATTTGAACACCCTGCTATTTTGCAAGTTCTCCCACTTAGAAATCATGGAGGGGTCTGAAATTGTCATCGTAGGTGCATGTCCACTGTGAGAGACCTAATCTAAAAAAAAAAAAAAATCCAGAAATCACAATGTATGATTTTTTTTAACTATTTATTTGTATGATACAGCTGCAAATAAGTATTTGAACACCTGAGAAAATCAATGTTAATATTTGGTACAGTAGCCTTTGTTTGCAATTAGTAGAGTTCAAACGTTTCCTGTAGTTTTTCACCAGGTTTGCACACACTGCAGGAGGGATTTTGGCCCACTCCTCCGCACAGATCTTCTCTAGATCAGTCAGGTTTCTGGGCTGTCGCTGAGAAACACGGAGTTTGAGCTCCCTCCAAAGATTCTCTATTGGGTTTAGGTCTGGAGACTGGCTAGGCCACGCCAGAACCTTGATATGCTTCTTACAGAGCCACTCCTTGGTTATCCTGGCTGTGTGCTTCGTGTCATTGTCATGTTGGAAGACCCAGCCTCGACCCATCTTCAATGCTGTAACTGAGGGAAGGAGGTTGTTCCCCAAAATCTCGCAATACATGGCCCCGGTCATCCTCTCCTTAATACAGTGCAGTCGCCCTGTCCCATGTGCAGAAAAACACCCCCAAAGCTGATGCTACCACCCCCATGCTTCACAGTAGGGATGGTGTTCTTGGGATGGTACTCATCATTCTTCTTCCTCCAAACACGGTTAGTGGAATTATAACCAAAAAGTTCTATTTTGATCTCATCTGACAACATGACTTTCTCCCATGACTCCTCTGGATCATCCAAATGGTCATTGGCAAACTGAAGACGGGCCTTGACATGTGCTGGTTTAAGCAGGGGAACCTTCCGTGCCATGCATGATTTCAAACCATGACATCTTAGTGTATTACCAACAGTAACCTTGGAAACGGCGGTCCCAGCTCTTTTCAGGTCATTGACCAGCTCCTCCGTGTAGTTCTGGGCTGATTTCTCACCTTTTTAGGATCATTGAGACCCCACGAGGTGAGATCTTGCATGGAGCCCAGTCCGAGGGAGATTGACAGTCATGTTTAGCGTCTTCCATTTCTAATGATTGCTCCAACAGTGGACCTTTTTTCACCAAGCTGCTTGGCAATTTCCCCGTAGCCCTTTCCAGCCTTGGGAGGTGTACAATTTGTCTCTAGTGTCTTTGGACAGCTCTTTGGTCTGACCATGTTAGTAGTTGGATTCTTACTGATTGTATGGGGTGGACAGGTGTCTTTATGCAGCTAACGACCTCAAACAGGTGCATCTAATTTAGGATAATAAATGGAGTGGAGGTGGACATTTTGAAGGCAGACTAACAGGTCTTTGAGAGTCAGAATTCTAGCTGATAGACAGGTGTTCAAATACTTATTTGCAGCTGTATCATACAAATAAATAGTTAAAAAAATCATACATTGTGATTTCTGGATTTTTTTTTTTAGATTATGTCTCTCACAGTGGACATGCACCTACGATGACAATTTCAGACCCCTCCATGATTTCTAAGTGGGAGAACTTGCAAAATAGCAGGGTGTTCAAATACTTATTTTCCTCACTGTATATTTTAAACTTGTCTGTGTTAGCTCGTAAGCCTGCCCAGCTTCCGCCTTTAAAAAGTTATTAGCCATTAGCTAGCAGTCTGTACAGTTCAAATGTTGGTTCACCCCCCCCCCAAAAAAGTTTGCTACAAAGTAACTGCAGTGGTCAACAAAAAGACCAACTAATATTGCCATCTTTATAGTGTTATACTGTCTCAAGTGTAAAGCACAGCTTGACTGAAGGGGTCTTCAAGGTTGATAACGACATTTAAGAGATAAAAAAAAAATCTGGTAACATTATATCAGCCAATTCTATCTCTTCCAAATTCTTTAATGCCCGGCTGAAATGCATGGCTCTGAAAAAGATGCAATGCTCTAAAATATATTACTACAATGTCACTTGGTGGCACCAAAGCATTAGATTTCATACTGATTAAGTGCTGTCTTCAGTGGATCTGATTTTTTCTGCCCGTGGGTTAATCCAGTATATTTCTGATGAAGTATTCAATGTTCTACGGTGAGAGACTGCCGACAGCAAACAGTTTTAGGATAGTTTTAATATTGGGAACGTTTCTTATCAAGTTCAGAACTACCTTTTCACCTCACAGATGTAGGATCTTTTTGTTTGGTGCTTTAAAGTTTCTTGAGGTTACTCAAACATCCGTGCCTTAGGAGTTTTAATATCAAGACTGACAAAGCCACTGTTTGTAGTAGTTTCTAATAAATCAGTGCCTTGCCAGCTACCCTTTACTGTAAGGTGTTTTGTGAATATGATTACAAACAAGCATATACAACAGAATACGTATGAACCTGGTTTCTGGGCTGGTGGGCTTTTCCATCTCGTCTTTGACGCTCCTTCCTTTTTGATCCGGGCTTTGCTTTATTTGGTGGTGGGGCCTGTTGCTTTCCTTTGTCACGCATTCTGCAAAAGACAAGAGTACACAATCTATTACTTAAGCCTCATGCTCACGGTTTAGTCATAATCAGTTTGTCATATGGGTTTTTCCAGGGAAATGTGTTTGACATGTTTACGAAATATACACAGTGAACTGTAGACAGGAGACTAGTAAAGGTAATGAAAACTGTACCTGATCTTAGGTCCCCGATGGGAGGGCAAAGCAAGAACCTTCCTGCGTTCTTTCCGTTTCCAAATCTATATGCTCGACCTCAGGGTTGGTCTGGAAGCCGAAATAGCGTCTGCTTTGCTTCTGGCAATAAGGAGCAGCTGATAAAGACAGAAAAGCAGTCAGAGAGAAAATCAAACAAGTAAAAAAGACTGTACATAACAGCAAAAAAAAGTTTATTTCAGTTTAAAACAGCACTAGTGCTGTACTGTGTTTGTTTTGGAACAGTATGTCATGTTGTTCATCACTTTTTACATGGTTAATGGAATCAGTACAGTATAAACATGGTGGGTGAACAGCATGTGTGTATAAGAGCAGCTGTTTTCATCACCTATTAAAAGCTATCCAGAAGAGACGAACAACAACTTATTAAGCCATCATGTACAGCTGCCTAATTCGTTCTCTGAACTGGCAAAAGACACAAAGATATTTTCATACCTCTCTCCTTGGTGTCTGCTCTGATGAGGACTGTGCTTGATTTCCACCTTTCCTAGGTCCATCTCCAGCTGTCTGGGACTGAGGTTTGGCTCCTCCTTTAAAAGGCTGTTTTCTGAAAAACTCCTGCAAAAATATCCACACAAGGTTACTTCAGGTTTACTAAGCGAACAAAAGCATTTTCAATTTGAACCGGGATTCCATGGCGTAGCTATCACACAAACTAATACCAACGCACCTTGTTTTTTTGTTGTCGCAATTCTTTTATTTTGAGTTTCCTTGAATCCTCCAGGGAGAACTCAACAATGGGTCTCTGCAGGGTGACATAAAATGCACAGTTAAAAAGCTTCACTATGGACCAGGAAAAGACATATGTAAATGCTTGTTATATAATCCAGTGTGCTAAACCAAATAAACACCAACATTTTAAGTAAAAAACTTCCAAAAGGTAAATAAATACAGTGGCAACAAAGCAAAAACAGCTGCTTTTAAATGCACTTCTGTAGTCCATCACAGAAACGTACCTTGTGTGAGCCAAAGATGTCAGGGTTGTTGTTAAGGTAACGAAGTGTGCTAAGAGCATGTTCGTGGTCCTGGAACTGGACAAAGCCATAACCTAACGACTGTCCCATCACCTGACCCCTCTCTGGCTTCTTGTCATACATAACCCGACACTAAAAGGAGAAGCAGGAGGTGCACACATAAAAAAAACAGCATGAATGAGAATGACAACGACACCCCCTACTGGGCACACAGATGCAATTAGGGCTGCACAATATATGATATGTTTTTTCTGCAATGTTTATTACAATATGAAGAAATACTGGAAATTTCACCAGATACATGCAGTGTGTTATACAGGTATATATATACACAATTAACAATCAGAATTTTCATTATGTGGGTACTGTAAAAACCTTCTAACAAAACAACCACCCTCTACTTCTAGCACACTTGGTTTAGCCCTCTGCTACTCTTACAGAAATCAGCTTGTATGTGACTCTGGCACCAGCATGGACAAGTGAAGAGAGAACAGGTGGAGAGGTACTTGGGGAAAACAACATATGTTTCTTAATAAACCCATTGCCCATCACGTGCATGTTTACAGGCAGGTGATACGCAGACTCTGCATGCACAGCGATCAGTCCGCTATGTGCTCTGGTGAAGTGGTGGACTTGATCGGTTTATCAAACAACCAAAACAGACAGTGCCCATTTTCAGGTTGTGGTAGGTGACTAGTGGGGCCTGCTTTGGTTGTTTGGTAAATTCACCATAACATATTTGGATCAAACTCTGTGTATCTAAGAACATTTAAATCGGACTTAATTATGTATTTTCAGAGAGACTTTTTGTAGATTAATCATGGAAAACCTTTAAAGTTTTTGTATCAAGCAGCAAAAAAGTAGTAGCATGACGTGTTTGAGTTAACGTGCCTTACTTGACAAAAGCAATGTGACTATAATCTCCATTAACAGATATCTGCATGAATGTAGAATCTCTAGGCAAGGGACAAGATTTTGGTATCGGAAGAGGTCTTGTTTTCTGTTTGTAGTCCAAGAAGTATTGACCAATCACGTTTGAGCTGGCTTTAGTTGCATGCGGGTAAACAGTCCGTGTGGAGGGCAAAAGAGGCGGAACACATTGCAGAAATGCAATCTCGGAACCCACTGATTATCATCTGACAAAGATTTAGCTCTTTTATCAATCTCGGAAACCCTAAAGATTTAGCTTTTTAAAATGGATCAGCATTCCAACATTGTAAACAATGTGCAATGTGTATGTCGTGCAGCCCTAGACAAGGGCTTTTTTTAAATTCTATAAAATCCTGACATACCACTCACTCAAAACTATTTCCAAGAATGTTTTACAAAGCTGCAAATGAATGATAAGTGTTATAACGATACTGCTTTATTTAATGAAATGTCTACCAGCATGCCATAATATTTCTCACCTCTGTGATGCGGACTCCCTTGCTTCCTTTTACTGCTTGGAGGCAGAGCGCTTTGAGCTTTTTATTGTCCACTGACTTGGGCAGGTTATGGACACAAGACGAGTCTTTGACACAAACACTTTTATGTCGCGAAGCTTGGCCCTCTTTATTTCTTCAAACTGAGGGAAAGAGACAACACCAAAAAGACATGTCAACATAAGAGCAATTTGAGAGATGATAAGTTAAGATAAGATAAACTATTATCCAGTAAAGATCATTCTCTAAGAAGAAATGTCTAAAATGGTGAATGAAAAACAAACTCACTCTAGTTCTTTTGATCATGTCTGCTTCAGGCACACCCTCTGCAGCCTTGGTCCCAGCACGGATCACTGGAACAACATGCAGAATAAGAACAGATTTAGAAGCAATTCCAAAGCTTAAATAGGGACCTCACAAGACACACGTGGCTTTCCTAAGTAATGCAGCATGGTGATTTATTAAAGATGGTATCTTGTTTATTATTATATTATTGTGTCTTCAAATATTTAGTGTCACAACAGAAGTTTCACATTGATATTTCATGGTTTATAGATTTAATGTCAGTGTTTCCCCTATATTAGGGTGCCAGTCAAAAATAAATTTTCAAATTTTCATCTTCCCACCCTCCAAATGTGTTAATAATGTGACAAAAGCTAAGTTGACAAAATTTGAATGTTTCTAATAATTTTTACTGGTAGCTCAACACTGACAAAGTTTTACAATATTCAACATTTTCCAATTTTATCATGTAATATTAACTTTAATATCACAAGTTAGAATAATGTAAAACTCCTCAAAAAGAAGACACATAGCTGCTAACAGTTACTTCATAAGTTAATAATATACCCTTAAGTATTCATAAGTGTCCAGAGAATGACTGTACTGCAGCTTAAAAAACAGTACATTTGTTTTGTTGTAGGCTAGCTCTCCAGCTCACAGAGTAGCTGCAGATTTCTATGAAGTAGACGAAACACATGCACATGTAAACCAGATAGACTTTCAGATAGACCTTAATTATGGAAGTGTTGAAGTGGCATAAATGGGGCTTTGACTCAGGGTAGAACGGTCGTCCCCTTAAAGGAAGGTTAGGAACCCGAAATTGCTCCTGGTGGCTGTGCCGTCAGTGTGTGAATGAGTTTATTTCGGTTTCTGATGAGCAGTTGGGTCTCTGCTCATAGGTGGGTGATGCAGTGTAAAGCACTATGAGTGGTCGAAAAGACTAGAAATGTGATATACAAATACAGCCCATTTACCATATGTGACAGTTCATTCGGAATTGGGGGCAAAACCCACGGCGCTTGCTGCAGAAGACGCTCTTGTTAAGTGGCCTCTCTTGAAATGTCCTTCTTTACTGTACCAGAAAATAAGTGGTAGGTGGTGCTAAAAATGAGGATAATTAAGATTAACATGACACACAGATGCGACATGGTGGTGCAGTGGTTAGCACTGTCACCTCACAGCAAGAGGTTCTGTGGATCGAGGCCCAGGCCTTTCTTTGTGGAGTTTGCATGTTCTCCTCGTGTCTGTGTGGGTTCTCTTCATGTTCTCCTGCTTCCTCCCACTGTCCAAAGACAGTGTGGTCACTCTTTGCCCTTAGGTGTGAACGTGTGTATGACTTGTTTGTAACATAATAACATTTTATCGCAATGAAAGTAAATATAAAAACATTGAGCCCATTGAGCTACCAGTAAATATTAATATATCTGAATTAAACTTCTCACAGTTACTATGCATCATAAAAGGAATAGAATAGGGGGTGGGACCTGGAAAATGTTGAAAAAAAAAAAAATTGGCCATTACATTGAGTGGCACACTACCCTATATGCATTAAGGAGCGGCTGCTGTTTTGTGACCGCTGCTACAAAAATTTCCCACAATCATTATTATATCAATGCGCTACATATTTTCACTCACACAGTGTGCGAGCACGGTAACACATGCGTGACCGCTTCCACTCCTCATTCTTCAAAGGACATCTAGGCTACGTGACAGGTGCCGTTTTAAGAGCAACGTAACTCCGATTCGGGAGCTGCATAGCGAGTGTTTGATTGCCTGAGCGGCAGAAAGTGTTGATGAACGCGAGCGGAGGAAAATATTCTGGCAGTAAATGTACTGTGTCAGTTACAGTGTGTTATCTTCTCAAGACCAAGAAATTTTTTTCTGTTGTTTCCCCACCTGCGGGAAAATAGAAGCCCGTTTGCGCTAGCTAACATCTACCCTCCCCTTCAGACTGCACAGCTGTGCAGGAAAGCTTCTACAGCAGGCTGTTATGCAACTTAACATTAGCTGTATTTATAGAAAGTCACTGTAGCTGTATTTTATTACTACCTAGGCTACTTGTCTAATGTTGAGAACATCAGGTACAAACTTAGACTAAACTGGTGTACCCTACAGCTCTGTCCTGTACAGGTTCATCCTAAATTATTTTCCCAGTTTTCAGGAGTCTGAAAAAGTGGTTGTTAGGAAAAGAAAGGACGGTGGTAACTGGAGGAGCTGAGGTTAGCAAAGCAAATTAGTGATGAAAACTAGTCCTGTTAAGCTAATGAGGAAACGTTTCTTTTTGAATTTTAATGTGCAAATAAAATGCACATCAGAAGGGAGAAGGTTTCATATGTTGCCATTTTTTTTATATCAATGTCTACAGATTAATGTCAAAAGCTGAAGACACAAAAGGCGAACATGAACACTCGTATCTTCAATGATTCTGAGGTAATATCAACAGGGTTTTCGGGGGTGATGCCCAAAACATGCTGTGCCATAAATGTAACATCACTGTGGAAAGCATCATAACCAACCAAATTACTTTCCCCAAATCTAAAGGTTGTAGTTCCTCCCCAGTAGACAGATCTTTGGGTTGTTTATTATCTGCTCTAGCTTTTCCATTCCATATTTGTTCAGAGATATATAGTGAAAATAATATGAACTAGGGTAAACACTGGATGTTTAATGTTTGCATGAAGTGACATCTTTAATATTGACAGTGACTAAAATAACTGTGTCAAGTGAAAGGAGTGAAAGTAGAGCAGAGACGTGGTAAAGAAGGTGAAAAGAAGGGCATGAAATGGGTTTACTCACATCCCTCTCTGGCCAGGTAAAGGTTCCTGGTGCCCGTTTCTACTTTAATCTTGTTCACTTTCAGCTTGGCGGCATCCTCCCTGCTCACTGCTGCCACAATGTAAAGCTTTCTGCCATCTACACGGATGCCACCATTCTGCATAAAATAACCCAAAGTTAACAAACAAAGCAGCAACATCAAGTCATTGCACAAAACAGGACATATTAACATATGTTAACCTGCCATTCAAAGGCAGATACAGGGAATATTTTTAAGTTAATTATTCAGAATTTATGCATATGAAACTGCGTATTACCTCTGCCTCATCCTGCGATGCAGCTATGCATCTGTCTGCAGCCTCTTTGGTCTTAAACTGAGCAAATGCACAACCTGGCAAAATAACAAACCTGAAATAAGTTAATCAACCGGCCTTCTCAAACAACAGAGAGAAGAGTGTTTCACACCAGCACTGCTGACAGACCTTTTGAATGTTCTGTGTCGGGGTGGAGAACAATCTTTATGTAGTTAAGCTCGCCATACTTCAGGAGAATTTCCTCAAGACCCTCTTCCTCTGTGTCAAAGGACAGGTTTCTAAATCATCAAGGAGTGAGACGAACAAAGATGGTCATAAGTTAATAAATGAGTATTATATTCTGGGGCACAGTAAGATCAATTCAAGCAGGTTTAAGATGAATTAAAAGAGAAGAATTGCAAACCTGATGAAAATTGTTCTGCCCTCTTTCACATCTGAAGGGAGAAGTTTCTTTGAGGTTTTCTTCTTTCGAGCTAGAGATAAAAAGAAAAGTGGCAGACAAGCAGAGTCAAAACATTATTATTATTATTAAAGACAATGTTTAAATCACATACAAATATACAAAAAAACACAGGCAGAGAATGAATACCTGATTGATCTTCGTCGTCATCCTCATCTTCATCCTCATCTTCATCCTCGCTCTCATCTTCATCATCATTTGAATCAAGGCTACTTTTATCATCATCATCTCCTCCCTCCTGAGACTCATCTTTTTCATCTTCTTCTTCTTCTTCTTCTTCCTCCTCCTCCTCCTCCTCCTCACTGTCTTGTTCCTCGCTAACGTCTTCATCATCTGATTGGGATTCCTCCACTTGCTGCACAGCTGGTTTCGAAATGACTCTGTGAAAAGATCGGGCACAAACTTAACCAGTTATTAACACTTCGCAGCATTTTAACAAGATGTGTACATATTTGAGTTTAATACTTTTTCTTCTCAGGTGCTGCTTGTGCCTTTCCTTCTTCCTCGTCTTCAGTGTCACTCTCTGCGTCAGACTGTTTTGCAGTTGCCTCCTCTGTATTCTTATTTCCTGTTAGGTAAATAAAATAGCATTCATGATTATTGGCTTTATTTTGATGTTTCCAATGAGACAGCTGATTTCTTGTCATTTTTAATTTGCAGTGGATGATAAAAGGAGAAGTAGTTGTTTTACCCTTGAAGATAAAAACACAAAAAGACAATTACCTGCACTTGAGGATGGCTGTGTGGCAATATATTTGTCCTTAGGCACAGCCCAGTCTACTGCTACCTGCCGACCTGTGAATAACACAAAAACATTTAAACTGCAGCCACATGATACAAACAAAGACTAAAAGTGATTTTCCTTAAGTGAGGTGTCAACAATAAACAGTGTCTCACTAACTAACCTTTTATCTCCTTCAGGTTCAAGGCATTGAGCGCTCTTGCTGCCTCGGACACATTTTTAAAAAGAACAAACGCAAATCCTCGCATCTTCCCATCTACACAGAGAACGAAAAAATAATAATAAAATGACCAATCAATCGATTCAAGGTGCACGTGACAATTCAATGTGCTGTGCTTATTTGGAATCATGCAGTAAGAATTTAAACCATTTTTTACCAGGTTTGAGGGGGATTTTGGTCTCGAGAACTTTTCCAAACTTTCCACAAACTTGCTTCAGATCATCTTCTGAGCACTGTAACACAAGACACAGCATGTTCAGGTCAAGCAACAGGCGGACCACTTTATCAGCATGTGTATTACTGAAATTCAGATATAGGACCAAACTGTCCTTGTCGGTGCTGCAGATTGTACCTTAAAACTAAGGTTCCTTATGATTAGTCTAGCTTTCAACGTGTTTTTCCTGAAGCCTTTGGATTTCTGCTCAGTTTCCTTCGGTGCAGCAGCAGCAGGCTCTTTGGGTGCTAAATGAAAGACAGGAGCAATGTTATCAAGTAGACCCAGCGTGAGAGCTATCCCAGTTGCTTGTTTCTCGGCGTACCTTTACACCTGTTACACACCTGTTTTCCTTTTGTCTTTCATTTTCTTCCTCGCCACTGACAGAGAAAGCCTCTGTCCGTCGTATTCTTTTATTTCTGTCAAGGCTCGTTGTGCATCTTCCTCCATTGAATATGTGACATATCCAAATCCCCGACATTTTTCTGCGCCTGGATTATGAATGAGAATAGGTTAAATGTTTGTAGCTTTATGTTTTACTCGCAGCACGACGTTTTAATGAGTAACGTTAGCTTTGCAGTAGTTAACGTTACGTTAGAACGTTAGTATATTATCTCGTCAACGTATTTAGTAGAAGAGAAGACCCCGAATGAATGCCAGTGACAACCTTACCCTTTTCTCTGACCACGAAGCATTGTTTCACCGGTCCAATTTCAGAGAATATCTCCTCTAAACGTTCATTTGAAGCTGAAGCTGGTAGAGAACCAACGAAGATGGTCTGCGCTGGCATGGCTGTCTGCTGCCGAGCTAACGTTAGCTCGCTAATGTTACCTTCCTGGCTCGGTAATAGCTCACAAGCTGATGTCGAAATTGTTAACAAACCAGCATTGGAGGTTAATGTCAAACTGCTCGATATCACGCGAATGAAAACGTGCTTTTTAACTGTTTAACGTGAACGCCACTTGCTTCCAGATTAAGTCGCATGTTTACATAAGGGCGCCGCCATCTTTGAAAGTAACCGGAAACGGTCTCAAGCCTACACTTTACTTTACTGTACTTGCAGAAAACCGGTCCTTGCCGCCGCCTGCCGTCCCGGAGGTTTACATTGCAATAACGCCAATTAATTATTTATTTATGCATATATTTACTTAATTGTGTAGACAGACACAGCGCTAAAATAGACTAAATAATATATAATAGAATAAACTAATAGAATAGAGACTAAAGATGGGACGTCAACTGATACACTGTCCAATGATAGTTATATGCTGTAATAAAGAATACTTTACTGCAAGTCTAGATGCTGTGCAGAACTGCAGATAATAACTCTACATTTTTAAATGTATTTTTGAATGTAAACCAATTAAAGTTCACACCTCAGACAGTATACCTTCACATTTATTTCCAAGGCAAAAGAAATGTAAACTGTTGTGATTGCACAAATCAGAAATCCATGACATGTTTTGAGCACCAAAAGGATCACAATAGTGTCAGAGGCACCATTTCAAGTTTAACAACCACCATCAACAGTCATTGCAATTATTCGTAAAATGTTACAACTGGTATTTCCAAGTTAACTATAAACACACATTAAGAGTTTTCAAGTCTAACTTATTTCATGGTAGTTTGGTTGTTTGATTCAGCACTAAGGCTCATCTGTCTCTCTAGAAGCCATATGAACTCCTGGATGTATTACGGTGATATTGTACATTTTACTCAGCACCGCCAACAAACACCAATATGGTGGAATGTCTTGTCGAAGAAGAAATATCCTTCGTAGCACTGGTAGACCATCAAAAGAATCAATGGTCCCTGGAGTTTTCTGTACATATGAAAAGTTGTGCGGTTATTAAATTGTGTTTTGGCTTAGAAAAAGTAGAACAAACTTGCATTTTCTGCTTCACAATATAAATGATGAGTTTTGTATATAGAAGTATAGAGAAGACACTGTAACTATTCTTTCTGGCAATATATACGTCTTCCTTCCAAGTTGTGAGGCCACTGTGCCTAAACAATTCATAAACAGAGAAACGAAGGGTAAAGAAGAAGTGCTACAGTATTTTTTCCAGGAAAGACACACCTACAGTAACAGCAAATGTAAAATACTTCATGAATATTGTCTTCTGTGTGAACTCTATTAAACAGAAATTAAACATGAGGCAAAATAAAATTGCAATTAACAAAAACATGACAATTCACATCATGTAGCTGATTTACATATTCCTGGATCTCAGCATAAACTACATCTTTGCAATGGTACATTTAAGCAATGCAGATTTGGAGTAGAGCACTTTGGAGAGTTTTTTTTTCTTCAGGTTGGAGCATATGTATACTCAAGATAACTTAAAGATGTTTGTTTGGCTAGAAACTCTACTTTTAATTGTTTCTTCATTAATGGACTCATACTTACAGTTACTTTCAACTCAAACAGATGTGTGTTTGTCTTATTGAATATACAGGTGCTGGTCATATAATTAATATAATATAATATCATCAAAAAGTTGATTTATCTCAGTAATTCCATTCAAAAAGTGAAACTTGTATAATGTATACATTCATTGCACACAGACTGATATATTTCAAGTGTTCATTCCTTTTAATTTTAATGATTATAACTGACAACTAATGAAAACCCCAAAATCAGTATCTCAGAAAATTAGAATATTGTGAAAAGGTTCAATATTGAAGACACCTGGTGCCAAAGCTACCAGTACCTTGTTTAAGGACCATGGTATCCCTGTTCTTAATTGGCCAGCAAACTCGCCTGACCTTAACCCTATAGAAAATCTATGGGGTATTGTGAAGAGGAAGATGCAATACGCCAGACCCAACAATGCAGAAGAGCTGAAGGCCACTATCAGAGCAACCTGGGCTCTCATAACACCTGAGCCGTGCCACAGACTGATCGACTCCATGCCACGCGGCATTGCTGTAGTAATTCAGGCAAAAGGAGCCCCAACTAAGTATTGAGTGCTGTACATGCTCATACTTTCATGTTCATACATTTCAGTTGGCCAACATTTCGAAAAATCCTTTTTTTTGTATTGGTCTTAAGTAATATTCTAATTTTCAGAGATACTGAATTTGGGATTTTCATTTGTCAGTTTTAATCATCACAATTAAATGAAATAAACATTTGAAATATATCAGTCTGTGTGTAATGAATGAATATAATATCCAAGTTTCACTTTTTGAATGGAATTACTGAAATAAATCAACTTTTTGATGATATCCTAATTATATGACCAGCACCTGTATTCTCATGGCACTTACTGTCAGTCCACCTACATCAAATACTATAATTAGTGTACAAGTTAAATTAATGTATATTATGTATAATATAAACAAATCTTTTAGATTAAACACAGCAATAAGCCTAAGTCACGCTAATATGGCAATGACAGCACATTACAGCTTGGCCTTCAGCGGGGCGATGCTGAGTGAGTTGAGGAACGCGTGTAGGGTGGTCAGATACTCTTGTTGGTGCCTCTTGAGGTGACCTGCATGTGTTGAATCCTCCCACTTCTTTGCCGTGATGTCAATCCCGTGCTTCCGCCATTGATCAATCAATTCCTCCGTAGCTCGTGGGTCGCTCAACAAATCGTTCTCGCAATAGAAGAACAGTGCAGGAGCGGTGACAGGCGTGTTCTTAAACGTATCAATGCCTCTGTTAAAGTAGTCTACCGTTTGGCGTCTGAACATGCCAAAGTATAACAGGCTTACCTCTTTTACCAGTATCTCCCAACGGGGAAATATGGTCTTACCTAGACCTGGCAGAGAGGAGACAAACCATACTTTATTCATTTGAATTGAAAAAGGATTTCACTCCTATTTATAAATATCCAAAATATATACATTTCATGTACAAATGTACATGAAATGTATATATTTTGGATTTGGCCGGTGCAATATTGCATAATGGGTACTTATGAAATAAAATGAATCAATGTGTTAAACCGTGTTAATACTGACCTACGGACATCGTCTCCAGAGAGCCCACCACCAAGCTATCATAGACTTGGCCTTTAATCCTCTGCGTGAGCGCCTGATATTTCTGTGTATCCTGGGACACATGTACCAGCAGCTGGGCAAATGTGTAGCCCCCAATAGAGAAGGCATGGACAAGGAGTGGGCGGGACACAAAGCGTTTACTGTGGAGCAACTCCAGCAACCTCTTTCCATGAGCCAGACCCCAGCGAGGCCACAGGAACTCTGCCACCTTGTGTAAAACAAACAAAATGATGACACATGATCACCATGACCCTAGATAGTGTGTAAATCAAATTAAAGTTCCAGGAAGCTGATCAGAGTTAGTTCAATGTGTGTTTGTGTGTAAAAAAGCAATCACTAATGGGATCCTAGTGAATGTGACATTGAATTTTTTTTAAAATATTTATTCAGCTGTAGGGGACACTTTGGATGAAAATATGGATCAACCCGATCTGACAGATCAGACGACATAGTTCACTTAAAGACCTATGACTTTAACCGCCAAGTCTAATCCAGTGAGTATATTTAAACTTTTATTTTAAAAATCTTTCTCTACAGCTTTTAATAGATTAAATGTTGATGTAGATTAAATTCAAACAAACAAACCTGTTAAAACATGTTAAGACTATAGCCTATCCAGACTATTAGACTATATCTAGACTACTATTGTGAGAGAAAGGTAGACAGTGTTTGCCTTTTATGACCCTCGCTGGTGACTACTTCATTTTGTTTTTTACGAGAGGAAAGAGCTCTGTCTTATCTCTTAAGATAAAATGTTATTTTGTGTTATGGACGCAAAAACAAGGTCAACTCACACTACTATGAGTAAAGTATATAGGATAAACTTTACCTTTTACCTGATAATGTCAGCACAACGATTGTAACAACAAGTAGCGGGTAGATGTCAATAGGATCTAACGATTATTTTTAATACCAAGCAATTTATCAATCTATAATCTATTCGATTAGTTGATAAATTTTAAAATTAAACCTAGTCTTTTAGGTTCCTAATAATTTCCTAATAACAACAGACCCTATTTATTAGATGTTGAAAAATACTGGACCTTAAATTCAGGATTGCTGTGATACACAGACTAATGTTATCCTTTGCCAAGGTAATCTATCCACCTCACAAATGTGGCATATCAAGATGTTGTTCAGACAGCATGGCCATTGCATGGGTGTGCCTTACGCAGGCCACAATAAAAGGCCACTCAAAAATGCAGTTTCACTGTATTGGGGGGGTCCAGGGGACTACAGTATTACTACAAACAGAAACACACTCCTTGTACTGATAATTCTAATATGCCATGCTTGTATAGGGACAAAAAGTAAACAGGATTTGCTGTCCTGACTTCCTGTAGTCTTGACAAAGCGCTCCGGGATGCTTTTGCTTCAAGTTTTCGTGCACAGCAGTTGTGCTGCTGTGATAAGCCATTTCCAATTGTCAATATGTCTGTTTCTTCAGACTTTAATCATCCAATCCACCAAACAACAGTCAACGTGCTGCTCATCCCACAAATATGGCATAATTTAAAAGGGAAATAATCAGGCTTTCCAATGGTACACGATTTATTGCCAAGAAGCATTGTTACAACAAAGAAAGTATCTACCAAACACAAATGTCCTTACTTTTTGTAGATAATACTCAATTTTAATGCATTCCATATTACCAAAATAATAACCAAATGACAGCAGTTCCCTGTATCTACGAATACAGCTAACACCAGTTCGCTAACTTGGGGAAAGAGCATCCACAACTCTCCTTTACTGATTTACAT